CAACACATCCTTTGTGAAGCCCAACTAATGTGAAGACTCCTCAAGATATTTCTTCCAAAGCCAAACATACACACAAGGGTGTTTTCATATCTGAGTTAACTTTTAAAATGAGTAACATTTTTTGTACGCATTACCAAAAAACAACAAAAGCAGACACAGACAACGGTATGGCGACTGCAGGGGGGGGGGGCGGGGGGAGCTGGCAGCCAGGGACCTGGCTCCAGGCAGCGAGCACACGATGCAGTGGGCAGACGATGTCACAGAATCGCCCACTTGAAACCCGCATGGATTTATTAACCAATGTCACCTCAATAAATTCAATTTAAAAAGTTTAATTTAAAATGATGACCAAAATGCAAATTAGAAATTCCTGTTGTTTGTACATACGATCTCATTGAACCCTCAGAAAACCCTTTGACATAAGGTGCTATCATGACCCATTTTCACTACAGAGAAACTGAGGCACAAGCAGTGTAACAAGCTGCCCAGGGCCTCACAGCCAGGACGGGCAGGCAGACAGCCTGGTCTGAGACTGAGGCTCTAACCGCTAACCTCTGCGGCCTCTTGGCCAAACGGTCAGATACAGTATTAAAACAGGTCATCTTGCCCGACACACCGCCGTAGTGCGGAAGAGTTACTCAGCCAGACTTGCATTGCGTCGAGAGGATGGATAATCTCTCTTTGATAAATTCTCCTGGAGATTAAGTGAGATAATATATACCAAACGGCCAGTACACTGCCCACACGTATGAGCACAGAAAAAGAAGGTCCAAATGGGGAGAGGAGACAGAGCCTAAATCACCACTAGAAGCAAAACCTTCCCTTTCTGAGGACGTTCACATCACTAGAAAAGCCCAAGCATTCACTGGTAGACTCCCACTGATCGGCCCAGCCGAGAGCAGGAGGCACGAGGACGGAGACCCAGGCGCGTGCCCACCCAGCCCAGGATTTCAGCAGCTGCCCACCGTGGAGGCGGCAGCTCCCCGAACACGCTCAGAAGCAAGGCTGCAGGAATTACAGAAACCGCTCTGAAAAAACCAGAAGTTCCTGCGCATGGCGCATCAGAGATGAACGCACAGAGCATTTCTTTGACTCAGAGCCAGGACAGCTGGGTTGCAGTCTACCGGGCCAGCGGTTCCCATCTGGGTGACCTTGAGCAAGTCCGTTCACCCGACCAAGCCTCCGCGTCCTCGTCTTTAAAACGGAAAGAATAACGTGGCCCGCCTGCTGCTCAGGGCTGTGCTGCTCTGAACCGGACAAGATGACGTATGTCAGAGCCCCCGTGAGCTGTGGATTGCGCCTGAAGGGACACTTATTTCTGACGAGCACAGGCAGAAGGAACGGACAGGCCACTGATCTCCGCCTCTGCGGGACTGAGGGAGCAGTGACCGGACTGCATTGCTGCTGTCGCCAAGGTGCTCACATCCCCGCAGCTGCCTCGGGAGAAGCTGTGTCCGACCCGGCCAGCAGCTGGCCACCGCCAGCCACCGCGGAGGTCCAGCTGGAACTGTCCTCACGGAACTCAGCTGTCAGCTCAAAGCACGTGTAGCTGTCCGGCCACGAAGCATAGAGTGGGCGCCCAGGTCCCCACGCGGGAAGTCTCTGCGAGGAAGCCCTGACTCCACAGGTGCCGGCGGCGCAGGTTAGGGACAGCAGGGTGACCGAGGCCGACCCTGAGCCACCGCGTGCCTCCAACAGCGAGGAAGTGACCGTCTACATAATTCACGCGGATACACCCGGACACATAATTCATCTCCGAAGTCAGTGCTAGCGCATTTTGAAACCTCTCCACTTCGATGAAGTCTTTGAATTTCTTGACTGGAGAATGGAGAAAAACAGATTTTTACAAAACTAAGAAGCTGGGACGGAAGTGACAGAGGTCAGCAGTGAACCCCTGTGCTCTGCGCGGGGTCCCTGGACACGTCAGCCTGGCCGGAGTTCACCCGCCCCACTCGGGAGTCCGCATGAACCCCAGTGTCTACTAGAGGACAGGTGTGCGGTGACTGGTGCACACCCCAAGTCTGCACTGGGCCTGTCCACATCTGGTCACTGCAGTCGCACTGTGCCCAGAAATTCTGGAAATTTCTGGCAGAGCTGGAACTAGAGCTGCAAAGGAGTTTGCTTGTTTTCTGTCCCTACTTCCACCACCGCGTCTAATCCATGGCACCGAACCAGAGACAGGATTCTGTTCTGACCTTCCGTGGGGCTTGGTCATGAGTCACCGCGGGTGCCTCCCAGTCTCCGGCGTGAGTGAGGAGATTTCTGAGCAGAGCCCGGTCAGTCCACAGAACTCGTCTCAGGGAAACACGAGTGACTAATGGACGTAAGTCTCCAAACGATGATGAGCCGAGTGAAAATTCCACTTCCCTATTAGACGTGGGGCTGCTAAATTCAACTTCTGAGGCTGCGGGTGGGCTTGCACAGTAACCTTTCCGAACACACACCTGTTACCTCTGTAGCATCAGTGCCCCAAGTTCAACCACGCGCATGAAACAGCATTAGCTCTGGTGTTCAAAACAAACGCCGCAAGGACAGAGCTTGGTTCCGGAGTTTTTCACAGTCCTGGAGAGAAGGGCATCGATAGCCCCCGAGTACCCACGGTGCCCAGGCCTTTGCTGGACGTCTGGCTCATGCTGCGGCTTGTTCTCCACAACGACTCCCCTAACTGTCTCCTATGACAGAAGGGGAAACGGTGCTCAGGAAAGTCAAAGGCAGAGCGGGGGCTGAACCCTGATCTGACTGAGGCTGAAACTCCCACTCTTCCTGCGACACCGAATGCTTACATTTCCTTCCTAGAGAGATGGTCTCATTTAAAATCTACTGAGTTTTGCCGACTAATCCAATCAATGAGCCGGAGTTACGAGGATGGAATTCAACGATGAATATGGCAACTACCCAAACCTGCCGGCACCCCGTCTGGCAAGGACAGCGATGACGGAACGGTCCGCGGGAGTCAGGCATGTGCCCGTCTGCAGGCGCCATTTCTGTGGAGTCTCCCAACCCTCCCGCCACGTGGGCGCGGCCACCACACCCAGGGCTCCACACGGCCCCAGAGGTGAGTCTGCTGTCTGGCCCTGCTTGCACCCCTCTTCCACACGGCTGGGCTCCTAGAGACCAGTCACTGACACATTTACTTCGGTTGTTTGAAGGAAGAGAAATACTTGAATGTTGTAGTGTCCCGTGTGAACTCATAAATGGGATAAAACAAACACATCCAAGGAGTCAGCTCTTCAAGTGACAGGAGTAGGGGCTGGACACCCCAGCTCTAGGGAGTGGGGGCTTTTGCATTTCTGAGCACAGCTGTGCTGGGACGTCAGCACGAGAGCTACCGCTGGGACACGCCTTTCCTGGGGCTGAGCAACAGGCTCCACCCTCTCCCGCCTCCAGCCCCCCCGCACCCCTGGGACACGCCTTTCCTGGGGCTGAGCAACAGGCTCCACCCTCTCCCACCACCAGCCCCCTGCACCCCTGGGACACGCCTTTCCTGGGGCTGAGCAACAGGCTCCACCCTCTCCCTCCTCCAGCCCCCTGCACCCCTGGGACACGCCTTTCCTGGGGCTGAGCAACAGGCTCCACCCTCTCCCTCCTCCAGCCCCCTGCACCCCTGGCACCGCCCGAGGCCTGCGCTGCAGAAGGCGGGATCTGAGTCCCTCTCCTGAGCTGCTCGCTATTTTCTGTGCAAAAACTGAACCAAAATAGAAAAAGAAGTTCGATGCCCGACAGCCATCTCTCTGGGGCCTGTGCAGTCCTTGTCTGAGGTTCCCTTTCAGGAGGCAGGAAAAGGAGAACGTATCTGAGTTCCGGGTCAATCTTTGTTTAAATCACAATTGTGAACTAAACAGCTTCTTGGCTCTGTGAGCTTAGAAACACACTGAATCTCTCTCTCTCTCTTTTTAAAAATAAGTTTTTATTGATTTCATAGAGAGAGGAGGGAGAGGGAGAGAGGGAGAGGAACACGGATGTGAAAGAGAAGCATCCACCGACCACGTCCTGCCCCGAGCTCACGCCCTGGGCCCGTGCCCTGACCAAGAATCACACCCGAGCCTCGGTGCACGGGACGGCGCTGAGCCAGAGCCACACCGGCTGCGCCCACAGCTCTCTCGGCCCGAGAAGTGTGGCAGGACAAGGTGGGGTCACACAGGCGCTACAGCTGGACTGCCCAGCTCTGACGCCCACCACTCAAAATGCCTCATTTGTACATCTGGAAAATGGAGCTAATATGGGCTCTCCCTTGGGGCTGCTGTAAGTCACTGCACACACTGCATCGAGGACAGGGTGTGGCAGAGCCAGCATGTCAGTAGACAGTATGTGCAACTACTGAGTACACCTTACGGGCACTGCCCATCACGTGGACAGCGACCCTGGCCAGAGCTCTTCGAAGTGAGCCTTCTATTCCTATACCTATTATGAGGTTGGTATACAGCTGTCCCCCGTGTCCAGTTTCACTTTCCATGGTATCAGTTACTCGTGGTCACCCATGCTATGAAAATACATAGAAAATTCCGGAAACTAACGATTCCGAGTTTTTAAATTGCACGCCATTCTGTGTGGCGCGATGAAATCTCATGCCACACTGCTCCGTCTCGCCCGGGACACGGATCATCCTGTGTCCAGAGTCGCCACACTGTATACACTACCTGCCTGCCAGTCTCTTGGTGGCCATCAGGGTGATCAGGTCACAGGCTGCGCATCACCACGCTTGGTCCATGTCACCCCCTTTACATCACTATGCCACGTTCACACTTTTATCACAGCATGTCACTGTAATTGTTCCATTTTACTATTAGTATTATTGTTCATCTCTTACTATGCCTAATTTATAAATTAAACTTTATCATAGGTATGTGTCTATAGGAAAAACCATAGTCTACATTGGATTTGGGGGTCTTGGAACATGTCCCCCACAAACAAAGAGGGGCTGTAGTATGTCCAATTGTGGAATCATTCAATGGAAAGAACTCTTCAGCTCATGAGACATCAATTTAATGCAAGTAGTAACTATTTATTATATTGACATATTTACAAAATACACAAAGTGAAATACACTCTGACTCACTGTTACACAAGGCAGCACAGTGGAAAGACAAAGTATATGGGAGACATTTACTTCTGTCTTTGGTGTTATCAATCTACACAAATCCGCAGCATTGAAAGTTCCCAGTACAAAGTATCAAACACAGACCAAGACGTCATCGGTAACATCACAAAAAGGGGCTCTAATATCCTCTGCAGGGACCCTCCTCCCAGGTCCATGAAATGCAACAGGAAGACTAAACACCACTGATAAGGAAGGAAGTCTAGTAGCTAAAATAACTATCAAAACAACAGTACAAGCTGCTATTCCCCACGCAGGCGTGTCTCAGTGTGTGACAGTTTTCTCGGTAACAGACGGTAACAGACAACACATCCCAGAGGCCTGGACTGGAAGACTTCAGGGAAGAATCTGCTCCAGGAGTCTCCGTGAGGATACAACTTCACTGTACAGAATTACAGAATGCTTTATAAAATTCATTTCCATGATCATTTACACATATACAAAAACAAAAAACAAACACCTAACTGGTTTAGCAAAGAATTTTTCTAAAACACAATCACAGTTTACATAATTCTGAGGTAAAGGTCCTGAACCCACCCTAACTGAGGAGGCCTAGCCATGGGGGCTCTACGGGGGAGGCAGCCCCGCAGGTCAAGTCTGGAATCGCGCGGGTGGGGAGTGGCGGCGACCCCCCGGCCGTGATCTGCAGTCTCGAACTGAGTGCTCCTAGTTTGGCCCTATCACGGTCGTGCTTCTAATGTTTTGTTTTCTTCGACCACGAGCCGTCAGAACCCCGCCTGAACGTGATTCTGCTACGGCAAAAATGATTTCATCAGGACAGGGCCACGCTAGTGTCTTAACCGGACTGGCTTGCCCGGGGCCTCTGTTTCACAGGGAGAACATATCACACAAAAAAGTGAAGGTTTGGTCAAATCCACTGAAAAAACTGATCTTCCCAATAGAAAGGGCCTGCTGCTGGGGAGACCCTCGGCACCAAGCCGGGGGCCCACACTGAGGAACCGGGACACCTTAGTGACCCTCCCGTCCCAGAAATGCATACAGGGCCCAGCCTCGCTTTCCTTCCAAAATCCTCAACAAACTTGTTCGTGCCACTCGTTTTTCCAGGAAAAGAAAAAAATCAGCAACTACAACTACATCCTTTGGGGGTGTTAACAGATGCTGCTTCTCTAAAGTGACAGCCCCAGACCTGCGTCTGCAGGTACCGCCCCTCCCTCGGCTCCTTGCGAGGCCGAGCTGATTTCAGAGGGAGGCGGCATTTCCAGAGTAACCCCGTGGCATCACAAGGCGGGGAGGGCTCCATGGGAAGACACTCTTTTCTGTACTTTTTTCTTTTTATAAAGCGACTTGCAAATATGGTCAGGACATCGAATGAATAACTGAATCAAAGTGTCGGCGGGCAACGAGGCACCTTGAGAAGCCACTCCAGACGCGGCGTGCGGGTCCCCCCAGCGGGCTGCCGGTCGGCGGGGCTCCTTCTGTTGGTGCTGGGAAAGGCAAAATCAAACTCCTGTTTCTTTGTACCATAAAAGGGTTCTGGCGAGTGGCATGTGAGAGGAGACACGTGGTCGACGTTCGCCGAGGGTGGGCAGTCACGGCGTCGGACCGGGTGGAGAAGGAAGACGGCCGATGTGTTTGCAGGCTCTCCGGGGGGGAAGGCGTCTGGCTCGGCCGGGTCCTGGCAGCGGCTGCTGGTGGGCCACCCTGCCCAGCCGCAGGCGAGCCCTTCACCTGTCGGCACCAGCATTCAGACCCCAGGATTAAGACTTAGGAGGGAGGACGTGGAATAGCCGGAAATGCAGCCTTTGAACCACCGGTTCCTTCACGCGCCGTGCAGGCTCCCGGGGTCCCTTCTCGGAAGTTTCTGGTGCCGGGGCAACGCTGGATCGGCGTCTACTCATCCATTTCCACGTACGTGGATGGAAACCAGCCCACCTACAGAAGAAAAGCAAACAGAGCAACACGACTTTGCCTCTGGCTTCAAGGGGGTCTGCGAACAGCACTGTGTTCCCCACCACGGTTAGGCTGCAGCGGCGCCCAGAGGGGACTGCGCTCCGAGGCCGGGCTCAGTGCCCATTGGCTGGCATGCACATACATATGCAAATGAAGCGAACACCGGGCCCCAGCCTGTGGGGATTCCGGCTACAGAACGAGCGGGACATGAAGACAGGTTCTGGGTCCCATCCCTCCCGACCGAGGTCAGCAGCCCGCAGACAGTCTGCACCACACCCCCAGTTTCGGCTCTGAGGCGGAGGGCCTCCAAAGAACTGAAATGCTCCTCAACCCTCGTCCAGACAAGAAGCCACTACCCTTGCCCAGGTGAACCTCATTTAGGCCACCATCCTGGTCACTCCATGCGTTTTTCTTGAGGGCCGATTGTGGGTAGAAATACCAGCAGTGCCCGCAGCCGGAGCTCTGGGGTGAGGGCTGCAAGGCGTTGAGGGGCTGCTCCCAGCACCACTGGGGGCCGACCGCCGCCGGTCCCCTTCGGTCACGGGCACAAGCAGGCCGAGAAGGCAGCTCACCTTGCCGTTCACTTCTCCTCTCCACCAGCCGTTCCCGCTCATCTTCGTGTAAATCTTCACCACGTCCCCTTTCAGCAGGGACAGCTCCCGCATGTCCCTGGCGCAGAAGTCGTAGCGCGCGATGGCGATGCCCAGCACCTTCGGGCTCAGCACTGTGGAGAAAGGATGGGGAGTCGGTAACGGGCAGTTTAGCAACCCTAGAAGCTAACAGGTGAGCGTCAGCGATGCTATCAGAACGCACAGCCGGGACTTCGAAGGGCTGGGGGCAGGCAGGGGCGGGGAGCAAGCAATGGGATGGCGTTTCGATTCGTTCAATCCAGGGAGTCGGGTCACTTCCTAAGGTCTGAAGGCCACGGGTCTGTTTCCACATTCTTCATAACAAACGGGGGCTAGTCTTTGTTACAAACATTTTAAAGGTGGACATCTAAGTTACTGTCCAAGGAGACAGAATCTGAAAGAACTAGTGTACATTCCCTGTTGCTGCACAGTGATCTATTTCCAACTAGAACTGCTAAGAGCTTTCCATTTTTATCTGTAACCTTTTTGACTAAGACTCAAAACAATCAAACTTTTCTGCCCGGACGGTCTCCTGTCGAATCCAGGGTACCACTTCCATCCAGCTAGATGGGGCTTCTCCCGAGCCAGCCTCTTTGTAAAATTCTTCATTTATTACACCTATTTAGGGATAAACTCAGTTATTGTTTTATATATAATTTCACTTACGTGAAGAAACTGAAATCAGGTTTCACTTAACAAGGACACATACACCACTTATGTTTCCTTTCCGACGAGCCCTGCCCCCCAGAAAACTGCCCCCGAGGCGTCATCAGGAACGACGCCCGAGTGCGCGCCTCCCGGCTCCTCTGGCTCCAAACGGCCGGAGTGAGCCTGGTTTTTGTAAGGAGCTGACTTACTCCTGCCCTCACCTGCCTCGAGAGAACGCCGCGTTCCAGCCACACACCTGTTCGGCCCCGGGGTTCCCTAGCAACGTATAGTAACTGCTCTACCTGTTGCTCTGTGCGTTATAAAGTGTTTCAATTATATGTTCAGTGATTCTGAGAATCACTCACCTGGGACTGAAGGAACTTAAGTATAAGAACAAGAAACAAACAGGAAACACCATCCGTCTGTGTTTCGAACGGTGCCCAGAGCCCAGGCCACAATGACAACCTGTGCCACGCGGCGGGGCCTGCCCACAGGGACACGGGGGTCTCTGGCCGAGCGTTTATGGCTTTGCAATGACAGAAATTTCTTTAGTCTCCAGGTGTCGATCGTAAGATAAACGAATAGCAAAGCTGTAGATTTCAGAACTGTAAAGGGAGTAAAAATGGGTAGTTTTATTTTACTGTTCAGACAAAAACCACTTTAATGGTTTTCTTACTGAATGCCATCCCATTACAGGGCACTACCTTACTTAGACGGGTGCACATAAAACACCCCGTGATGGAAAAGCCAATTGTCGGCTGAACCGCGAGGCCTTGCACGGTCTCTCGGGTTCTCGTGGCCACATTTTTTTCTCACCCCTAAAATGAAAGGTCTGTACTAGGTGACCTCTAAGGTCCTTCTATTTCTAAATGGCTCCAAGGATTCCATTGGGACTTACAGGTTAATTTTTAAAAATCTGTAAGGAAACATACTTTAGCCATAATGTACTCTCCTACATGTCACATAAATAACCATTCAATTCTGTAGCTAACGGCAGGAACCAAAATGCCTGTACACAAAACGATGGGCACCGTCGTCCTTCACAGCAGCCTGTACCTGAATTCTACTCTTACCTCTGGAGACCAAGTTGGGATGTTGGCTCTGTTCATTTTCCCAGTGGAAATGCATAAACACCCGCTTTCACAACGGATATTTCTGATCTTTAAGAAAACTAATTGTTTCATAGGGTATTTCATGCCCTCCCTGTACACCCGGGCCCTCTCCCTTTGCCCCTCTCCCAAGAGACCGAATAGAAACGGAAATAAAGACCAGGGTCACACACACCGGGGGGTGAAATGCCACGACACGGTGACTCACGACGGCAGAGGAGGGGGCATGGGCGGATGTGACTCCAGGGACTGCTTGTGAGGAGACGTATCTACATGAGAAGCCATACAGAGAAGGCACGATATTTGATTTGCAAACAGAAGCGAGTCGAAAGACACATAAAAGCAGTAAAGCAGTACCTGACCAGAAAGGACTGGAGGAAGGGGGGAGAAAGCTGTAGTCTGGAGGTGTTACAAGGGGAAACCCACAGAACAAAGAAGGGGCTTAGAGAGAGAGAGAAGCAAAAGGACATTTAGGTTTCAGTAGAAAACATCCCAACACAGCTGTTCTGCTGCCTATACCCCTAAGAACGTCGTCACACTCCAGGTGGGATCGGAAGCTGTCACCCGCTGCGCTCCCTGCTACATGAGGAGCGCCGGGTTTGCGCACTTTGACCTTTGTCTGCCACTCCGGGAGAGCACTGCGCCCGGCTCCACGTGGCCCCTTGAACCCTTCCAGCCAAGGACGGCTGACTCCTCCGGATGTGGTACAGCCCCCGCCTCCTTACATCAGGAGAGAGGGGGAGCCTGCGACTTCTCAAATGTAAAATATGCTTCGCATCAAAACTGGTATGAAGAGTAGGCTGCAGCCTGCAGGGTGGGGTCAGTGAAGCACGCGTGGCCCATCGCCATTGCTCCTGCGTCCAGATTTCTCAGGATCCACTCCCAGCCCCAGCTAAGCATGTGCATCTGGCCTATTTCCAGAAATGAAACATGAACCGTTCTGCATCTTATCACATCTGGAGGAGAAAGCAAATATACCCCCACATTGTAGGAACGCAGAGAAAAGGTACACACACTTGGATGCTCCAAAGAGCGGCTTTTCATTTACTTTCCGTAAGAGCTGACACTGATCAGAGGGGTCCGAAGCCCTGGATGCTGGGCTCAGTGTTTTTACCCAGCATTTCATTCATTCGTCACACAGCTCAAAGAGGAAGGTACCAGGACTATTCCGCCTTTATATCTGAGAGGAGCCGAGACTCATACCCAGTCAGGGTGCTCCCGGGGTCAGGCTCCCACCCGCTGCCCTACCCCTGGGGTCTGGGCACTGCTCCGGCAGTCACTAAATCCTACTGCTGGCCCACGGTGCCATTGCGACGGGCCAGGAAGGTGCAGTTACACGTTCCCCTTCGCCCACGTGGGATTATTCGCCCACATGGGTGGGCTGTGCTTGCCCAGAAGCACGGCCGCATCCCCAGCCTTCCCCGCGTGGTGTGGCTACGTGACGGCCTCTTGCCACGGGGTATAAGCAAAAGCATCGCCAGGCAGCCCCTGCAGGCAGGCCCGCGCCTCTGCTCTCCCCCGCGTTCTTTCTTCCCCTGCTGTCCAGATGTGAGCGCCGCTCTCCTGGCCCGAGAAGGAAGGCCTCGCATCAGGACGGTCTGGAGCATGCTCGAAGGGGCCGGGTGACTGGTTACAGAGCAGAGGTGACCTCTCTCCTCCCCAGTCCTGGGCTGAACACGTAAAGTTGTTTATGGGAAGGGGGGATAAATGTCTATTCCGTTTAGGCCAAGGGTTTGGGGGTTCCTGTTACTTGTACCTGGACGTAATCTAAACTGTAGCAGAAAGCTTTCCATAACCAGAATGAGGGGCACGTAGGCTGAGCAAATGGGGAACACGTCCATTCAATCTAGTACATTCTGCGTCTTCGCAGGGCAATGCCTGGTGTGGGAGCCAGAATTCCCCCAAAGTTAGCTCTGCTCAGGGAGCAGTTCCAGGGCTATGTGAGAACAGCATTAACTCCGCAAGGGGGTTCCCAATGCCACTCAGTGGGCTGGCGTCTCCCTTGTTCTTGGACCATGGACCTGAGGGTCCTCACCTGGGCACTGACACATCCATGCCGCTCTCACGGAGCCTCCATGCTCACTCTAACCTCCTCGGAAGAACGTCCTTGTAGATAATCAAGATTCTCTTCCAATCCACTGCACAGTCCATGTTACATTTTTTTAGTTTAAAATAAGATGGTACATGATCTTACAACCAATTTTACAATCTGTCCGATCCACTTATCGCCATACAATAGAACTGGTACCTTTGCATTTACTTGAGGTCGTGATAGACCCACTCAGAGAGAGGAGAGGGGGCCGCCTCCAATTCAACGAGGAAAACAGCACACACCTAACTGTTATCAGCAGAAAATCCGGTGGCAAGACTCCCGTCCCAGGTCTGTGAGAACTTAAACCAGAGCCCCTGGGTCTACACATTCCTTCTGGCAGGAACTAGAATTTTCTCTTTGAGCAGTTTTCTAAGTGCCCATCCTTGATTCTCTCTTTCTGGGACTATTTCACCCATCAAGTAAGAAAAGAAGACTGCATTTCTTTTCTAACTCCCAATGAAGGTTACTGAAACCAAGAGTCTGAAATATAACAAGACATGAGTTAGCTCTAGAAGGAAGAAATAAGAAATCAATGAAAGCACACTTAAATGCAATCTAAACAATGTCAATGACAGGCAGATATAGTAGACCAGCTCACCTGTTTGTAACTTAAGATACCTAACGTTCCTGAAGTAAGACGGGTGCTGTCTCATCAGAGGACCCGCATCTCTGCGGCAAATGCATAGCTTCCTGTCCTGCCCTACGGGCCCTCGGAATCGGCATTCATGCCACATGGCTACGACTAGAATCTTCTTCAATCGTATCTAAAATATTCTAATCTTAACTAAATGGTAGTTATTGCCCCATGGTTAGACCTTGGCTTCTAGGCTGAACTTTTCCCCAGTGAATGGAACAGATTCTTAGAAATACCTCTGCCCCTCACCTGAATTCCAGTCTGAGTTCAGATGTCTTCATGACACTGTGGTGAGTCACGACCATTAGCTCCCATTTAACTTATCTGAAACCAAACTCATCTTGAAACGCAACTTCCTCCTCATAATCTAGCTCAGTCCTTCTGTTTTTCAATGACTTCCGTGTTCTCTTTGCAAACTATCCCTGCAAACTCAGCGTACTGCCTCCCAACTGACTCTCTTGCTTTGGACTTTCTTTCTTTCCAACCTAAATACTGCTTCTCAGCTATTCACTGTAAACATAGTCACCATTCCCTTTCCTAAATATGAAATGCTAACTCTTCACCTGAATTCCATGACATCATAGTCTGCCCATGTCCCGCTTTTGTAACCAA